AGGGGCGGGGGCGGGGTGCTGAGGGAGAGGGCGAGGTCCTCGTCGAGCTCCTCCTCGGCGTCGGCGGGGGAGGCGTAGGCGCCGCCCTCCTTGATCATGGCGTCCTTCTCCTCCTGGTGCTGGGTGAGCATCCACTTGATGATGTTGGTGAACTCGTCCCTCATCTTGGCCTCGTGCTCGCGCTGCTCGGCGATGAGCTGGTTGAGGTCGTTGGCGCGCTCCTCCTCGGTGCGGGAGAAGTCCTTCTGGGAGGTGAGCTGCTGCTGGTGGTGCTGGCGCTGGAGCTCGAGCTCGCCCTCCTGGAGGGTGCGGAGCGAGGCGAGGAGGTCCTCCTGCTGCTGCTTGGCGAGGGTGATCTGCTTGAAGTGGTCCTGGCGCAGCCTGGCCATGCGGTCGACGTGCTGCTGGCGGAGGAGGTCGTGCATCTGCTTCTCGTGCTGCTGCTTGAGGTTCTCCTGGCGCTCGCGCTGGTCGTTGGAGAGGGCGTCGCGGGCCATGGTGTGCTGCTGCGAGAGCGTGGAGAGCTGGTCGGCCTGCTGCTGCTGCGTCTCGCGCTCGAGCTCCTGGCGGCGCTTGAGCGCGTTCTCGAGGAAGGTGACCTCCTCCTGCTGCTGCTTCCGCTTGAACTCGTTCAGCTTGGACCGCTTGTCCACGCGGTTCACGCTCCGGTTGGCCTTCTGCCACTCCTTGGTCTGCTTCTTCTGCATCTCCTTGAACTCGCGGTTGTTCACCCGCTCCTCGTCCTGGTGCTGCCGGTGCTGCTGCTCCGTCACCAGCCGGTGGTGCTCCAGCACCTGCTCCTTCTGCAGCGCCTGCTGCTCCTGCAGCTGCCGCTGCTCGAGCGTCAGCTGCTCGCCGATGTTCTCCAGCTCCGTCTGCTGCTTGGTCTGCAGGTTGGCCAGGTCGAACTTCTGCGTCTCCCGGAACTGCTTCATCCCCGTCGACACCTGCTGCTGCTGCTGCTCTCGCGACTTCTGGCACTGCTGCCGCTGCTGGTACAGCGTCATGCTGTTGTCCTTCTTCTTCTCCTCCATCGCGATCTTCTGCGAGAACAGCAGCTGGTCGAACAGCGTCGAGTTCTTGAACGACGTGTCCAGGTTCTTCAGAGCCTCCGGCGACGCCCTGCACATATCCACCACCACGTCATGCCACGTCAGCCACTGTTTGGGGGGGGGCAATGGGGCGACAGACAGCGAGAGCGGCTCGAGACGTACTTCTCCTTCTTCATCCGCTTCTTCTCGTCCTGGTAGTTCTTCTCCTTGACCTTCTGCTGGGCCTTGAAGTCCTTGGTGAGCCTCTTCTGCTCCTCCTTGATGTCCCTGAGGCTCTTCTTCTTGTCGTTCTCGTGCTCTCGCTTCATCTGCCGCTGATCCCCCGAGTGCTCCCTCTTCTGTGTGTCGGTCTCGGTCAGGTACTCCTTCTCCCTGCGCTTCTGCACCCTGACGACCTCCTTCAGCTGGTTCTGGAGCTTGCCGTCGTGCAGCGCCTTCAATTGATCGAGTTGCTCCTGTGTACGTCAACAAGGGGGGAAGCAATGGTGAGCCCACACCACACACATCGCACGCACGCACGCATCACACACGATCGCACACGCACACATGTGGATGGGGGGAGGTGGGCACCTGGTGAGCCTTGAGCTGCCTTTGCTGCTGTTGCTCGTGGGCCTTCATCAACTTGCCGAGTTGCTTGATCTGCTGCTTCAAAACTTTCTTCTTGACGACTGCCCTGGCGCCGTTCGACTTGAGCGTGCGGGTCAGGGTGGGGCGGCGGTTCTGCTCTGCAGCCCTTTCCTTCGTTTTCTGTATTTATATATAAAAAAAATTAGCAACCGGAGAAGAACGCTGGTCAGGCAAAGCGCACACGCACACGCAACGACACGACACGCACGCGCAACACGACACTGGTCTTCAAATATTCTGAGATTGTACCCTCTCTTCGTGGAGAGCCTTGCGCTTCTCCTCCTCGGTCATGGTGCCCCACTGGGGGCTGTCGCGGATGGTCGCCATGCGCGTGGGAGGGGAGGGGACGGCCACCGGAGCCTCCACGGCCACGGTCGGCGAGGCGGCCACCTCTCCCGACTCCGACTTTTCGGACTCGTCGAGGTCGTCATCGGAAATCTCCATCGCTGCGCATGTACACCGCAACACCACCCAACCAGCCAGCACCGACAATGAAGAACGAGTGAGTGGCCACGAGGCGAGATTGATTGGTGGCGGGGCGGGGCGGGGCGTACAATCGCGACCCTCGGTGGGAGCGGTGATGAAGGCGGCCTCGGCATCGCGGGTGAGCCTGATCAGGTTCTTGATGATCGTGCCGTCCTCCTTCTCGATTCCTGCGAACCACGGATGCTACACGAGGGCTTCAATGTCAGGCCGGCGCGCCGGCGTGGACGAACCCCGAGCCAGCTCCGGGGGGGGGATGGGAGGGTTGAAGGGGGGTGCATGCATACCTTGAGGAGCTCCTCGGCAGACTTTCTCTGGTCGGGATCCTTGACGAAGCACTCCTTCAGGAAATCGTTGAACTCGGGCGACCTTCACCAAACGACCACCGGACACGAGTTGGTTGGTTGGTTGGGACCGGGCAGGGACAAGGAGACGGTCGGGATCCGTTTTCGAAAAGAGAGGAAGGGAGGAGGTACCAGCTGGAGGGGGACTTGAGGCGAGGCGGTGGGTTCTTGGGGATCTGCATGACCGCCGTCATCGGGGCGATCTCGTGCAGCGGCGGCTGAAGTTCCGCCATTTCTATACATGTGATACCCAGCGACCACAAATCGCACTGCACGTCGAGAACGACGCAACACACGCACACAGTCAACCACCGAACGCAGGCGAGGGATGAACCCGTGTTCACGGCGGTAACGGTGGGACGGTTACCTTTTCATTGTAAGGCGCGATCACGGTGTTGACGACCTCGGGGGCGATCCAATACGGGGTGCCGATGAAAGTCCTGCGCTTGTCGTGGGGCGACGCCATCTGCGCCGAGACACCGAAATCGGTGAGCTTGACCTGGCCCGACTCAGTCAGCAGGATGTTGGCGGCCTTGATATCTCTGTGGATGATGCCCTGTGTTACGCAACCACAACGCAACGACAGTCAGCTTCCGGCCACAATGCAACCACACATCCTCAGTCTCCGCGGAGCCGCGGGTGGGTGCGCAGATCAGGGATGGCTGGCTGGTGCCTACCTTCTTGTGCATGTAGGCCAGACCACAGAGCGATTGGTGCGTGATCCACCTGTTCTGCATTTCCGTCAAGGGAGTCTCCAAAACTGTTGGAAGAGGAAGAGGAAGAACGAGACGGCGTTGGTTCAATGCTTACAACCACGGACACCAACACGGGGAGAGAGGGAAGAAGCAGAATAGGTACTTTGGTAGAGGTCGTTCGCTGACCCGCCGTCGCACAGCTCCATTGCAATCTACGCAAGGAGTCGAACAAGACCGTAAGAAAAAAAGGGTAAAAGGCGTTCATCGTGACCCATCGAAAGAGGAATCAATAAGCGGGGGGGGGCAAGGGAGGAGAGGGCGTACAAATAGTTCCTCGCCCTTCTTCCAGCTTCCAAAGTACTTCACGATGTTCTTGTCGCTGCACTTCTGAAGAATCAGAATTTCGATCATCATTTCCTCGAAGGTGTCGTCCTCTTCAAGCTGGATGATCTTCAAGGCCACTACATCTTGTGTGGGTTTGTAAATCGCCTGTACGCCGTTGTTAGTCCATCATCAATCATCTCACCGAGCAGCAACTTTGCGTCTCCACATTACCTTGTACACGTGACCATAGGAGCCCACAGCCAACTCCTCGATGAGGTCGAAGAGCTTGGTGGGGTCCTCTTTGGAAGTGATGACCGACTCGATCGACATTGCGACGATGAATTAGGCCGTACTGGCTGAACGAACGGATGATGGAACCAACGTTAAGGGAAAGTGATGGATGGCGGGATGAATAGGCAAGGAAGTAAGAAGGAAGGAGCGAAGTGAAGGAGAAGCAGAGCAACGCGTGGCGAAAGGGGAGTTTCCCTCGGCCACAACACGCGCCGTCCGACGGGGACAAAGTGCCGACGCGGGGGGGGGAGGATTTGCGGGGGGCGAACCAAAAGGACGAGAGGCGGGAAGATGGATGGAAGGGAACCCCTGGGCCGCTGTTCTTAGATGGGGAGAAGGAGGATCGTGCGCCTCAAAGGGCCAAGCAGAAGGTTCTTTGATTTCCTACGCACCGCGGAGGAAAATAGGCGGGTTGGGTGCCCCCAGCGACCACAGCAAGACGCCCAAAAGGTGGTCCTTTCCCTTCGCGGCAGGACACCAATGAGGGAACAACTACCCCAAAGTCGACATATTTTAAACTCCTCCCTTTCGTGTTGCACGGCACCCAACCGGTGCTATCGCGTTACCAAGGGTGGGAGGAGCTCGTGGTGTTGGACGAGTTCTTGAACGAAAAGACAGAAAGGTGGAGGTCTCAGGGCACATCGTCCAACGTGAGACTGCCAAACCCGCCGGCGTGGAATCGCTTGAGAAAGTGGTGCGCCGCCACCTCAAGGTCGTCGGTGCCCTCCACTTGCTTCGCGCCTGCATTACCCAGGTTACCCCAACACCGACAGGAGATAGAGCCCCTACGTCAGAAGAGCACTTCCAATGTTGCTACGGGACAACATCATCTTCTAGAAGCCTGGGGCTGGGATAGGCCCGGCGTGGCAAGGGTGGCTGCCAGCGTACCTGTCTTTTGGGCGATCCTGCGGAGGAGGTGCTCGATGTCGTCGGTAGGTCCGTCCAGACCCCACGCCTTCACGTAGCCTTCCCAGGCGTTTAGTCGGTTGAGGGAGTAGAGCAGGTAGTCCGCGATGGCCTGCTTGCCGACGATCGACTCCTTTACCGCACCTGGAGGGACATAATCGCAAGGTGAGTGCGCATTTGCACTCCTCTTCTCTCACAGGAGCCACAGGGAATTGCTGGCAAACCAGTGAGTGCGAGTCGGAGACCCACGTCGGCGTTCTCCACGTTCGGGATCATCACACCCGGCGTATCGACCAGATAGGCCAGGGGCTTACTGCTCACCTTGAAGCCAGTCAGATCCCGCGTCACTCCGGGGAGTGGCCCTGTCTTGGCAAACTGTGATCCTGCAAGAGAGCGATGTCGCTCGTGAGACGCGCCGCCGCCAAGGCACTGCTTGCAAGCGACATAGACAATTGCTCAAACCTCTCTTTTTCTTATCTGAGTCGGACAGGCAGTGCTGGCGCAGGCTATTGATGATTGTCGACTTACCCACGTTCGGCAACTGTCAAGCCAACAACGACTGTGAGCAGCTGAACATCAGCATAGAAGGGGGCTTGGATGATCGTACACCCATAATCATAAGTGTCAGTGGCTTGTCTGGATAGCCCGGGCAAGACGTGCTCGGGTCATCAGCGCCCTCTCCTAACCTGCAAGCACGATCGTTGGTCGCACAGCCTCTTTTCTGACTCCGATGACGTGGGAAGCGTACAGACGCTGCCGGTGCTGTTTGTAGTGCTCCAGCGCAGTCGGGATGAGCGACTGTATGGCCTTCCCGGCCTTTCCCGCTCCCGCTGTTTCCCAACGATGCGCGGTGAGTCAGAGCAAGCTGCGGCACAAGACGTTGCGACGACGAGGAGTGGTACTGGCGGAGGTGCAAATGACCGGCTGGCCGTTCAGCCTTTCGTGCAGGGCTTTCGTTATCCTCTGTTGTCGTTTGCAGCCGATGAAGCGTCAGTTAGGGACCTGGCAGAACGAATCGAAGAGTACTGCTTATTGAGCGCAGAGGGGGGAGGCACAAAGCGAACGTGCAGCAAGATGTGGAAGAGAGTTGGTGACGTGCCGGCAGGAGGTTGTGGTTGGTGAGGTCGGCCTTGTGCAAAATGAGGATGCGCGGGATGTGGCGCTGGGCGAGCACGCCCTCGAGGGTGCTGTTGGCAGCGGAAAACGGGATGCGTGCATCCCGCACCTCGAGCACCACGTCCACGCCTCCGCTGTTCAGCCGTTCTCGCATGAGGCGTGTGGCCTTGGCCATGTGCCCCGGAAACCAATTCACAGCACCCGCGAAGCTGAAGCTCGTCCGCCCACTGCGCCACACCATCTTGTCCATCTTCTACTTTATCGTTCTTTTCTTTTTTCCTTCATGATTTTCACTTTTAATAAAATAAATAAAAGAAAAATGGGCGCATTGAAGCTCACAACTTGGCGGAGCTCTTAGGGAAGTTGATGCGCTTCTTCTCCTTCTTGGTCTTGAAGGTGAAGGCCAGGCCGCGGAAGGTGGCACGGCGGAAGCGGCCGATGTTGTAGATGAGCTCCTCCAGCTTTTCGCCCTGGCCCTGGTGATACTGGTGGCGCAGCTTGATCGTCACCACCTTGGAATGCGACACGCGGTCCAGCCTGATCACGCGCTGCTCGTGGAAGAACTCCAGAGCGTTGGACAGCCCCTCGGTCGAGAGCGCCTCAATGAAACTCAGCTCTCCACTGTAGTACTGCGCCATCGAGAACACCCTGCGTGTGCGTGTGCGTAAGTACCGCATGCACGACGGGAAGTGTGCCATTGCGGAAAGACGGGACAACGCACCTGACTCGTTCGAGGAAGCTGTTCTTTTCCATGATGATGCTGGGGAGGAGGCTCTTGAAGGCGTTGATGACGAGCCAGTAGGAGTCGATGAACGGCCAGAAGAGGGAGCACAGGAAGAGGAACATCTCCTGCGCGTCCTCCGAGGCCTGGATCGAGACCATGGTGGGCGACTCCTCGTCCTCCTGCTCCTCCTCGGGAAGCGCAGTACGGGCGACCTGCTCTTGCTTCAGGATGCCCCGCTCCTGCATTTGATTGAGCGTCTGCTCGAAGTTGACCTCGATATCCGGCGAAGGCTTGTAGATGAACTCCTGCAGAGGCAGCCATGGCATGGGTTTCGGGCGGTGATTGCCAGTGAGAACAGAAGCACAACAGGGGGCGGCGGGATATGAGTTGGGGACAGACCAGCTTGAGGAGCTGCGAAACGAATCGCACGTCGTTGAGCAGGTCACGCTTATTGACCTTGAACTTGGAGATGTCCTCAGGCTGGCGACAGTTCACAAAAAAGAAGGTGAGCGACAATTCAACTGAATAATAAAAAAATAAAATAAAAGGAAAGAGTTCACATTGGTGGTGTACCTGGGCCACACGGATGTGAGGCTTGATGGAGGCGTAGAGCGCTGCCGACACGATGCCCTCCAACACGAACCAATGGATAATCGAATTCTTGTAGAACGTCAACTCCAACCTATAAGAGCGCAGAGCGAATGAGGAGGCATCCCGAGTGAGTCGTGCAGACACGGTTGAGCGGAGGAGAGCAGCGAAGAGCGCCGCACCTTTGCTTGGGCTGATAGACGGTCTCGTGTGTGCCCTGCTTGTGCTTCTCCACCAGATTGTCGAGCACGTTGAGCGCGTTTTCTGTGATGCGGAGCGCGCTGATCTTGTCCTCCTGGAGAGATAGACGCACGTGTAAAGTCGCAATGAGTGTTTGGTGTCGTTCATCAATGCTGGCATGGGCAGCGCGTTCGCTTACCTTGAGAGAGGCGACGAAGCCGCCGCGCTCGACGATCATTTGCCGCAGCTGAAGGACCTTGTTGCGCAGTTGGGTGATGGGCAAGCCGCGACCGGTGTGCGTGAGGAGAGCCGTGGCCACCAGCGCGGTGGGTCGCGCCACCGTCACCTTGTTGCACTCGTAGAGAACCCTGACGTCATAGTGTGGCCGTGAGTACAGGTGGCACTTCTAAGCAGAAGAGGTGGCAGCGATAGGTACCGATAGGCGAGGGCCGATACGAGGCGGCGCACAGCAGGGTCATCAGGTCCGGTCTCAGCACGCAATTGATGTCGGACGTACTGGTTGGCAATGAACTGCTTGATGGAGATGGCATCGCCTGTGGACCATGAAAGCGAAGCCCGCGCACATGAGCAATAACCACCACAAACGGGGAGAAGCCTGGGAGGGTACCGATGTTGACGTCGACACGTCCGAATTTGAACTTCAAGAGGCGCGCAGCACGGATAACGCCGGCAACGGTCTCGGGTTCCTTCTGCCCGCCCAACAGCTCCTTTTTGTAGGCCTCGCCTTCGATCACCTGTGTCGGCCGGCCGACGTCAGCGCGTCGGCTAAAAGAAGGAGGGGGGGAGAGGCTGGAGGGAGGTACCTTGTCATAGCTGATCGCCACAGGCACGACCATGGCATCATCGACTTGGCCTTCGAGAACGGTGTTGGTGATGACGGACAGCATTCCCATCTTGGGCCGCAACACCTTACCGCTGCGGCTGCGTCCTCCCTCGATGAAGAATTCCAACACCGACGCTGCAAGCCACCATTCGCACGCGCGCTTGTTAGTGATATGAAGAATGAGCGAAACTGCAGGGTCAGGCAGTGGGTACAATACATTCGTTGAGGATCTGCTCCACATAGCAGCGGAAGAGCAGCGAATAGAGCGGGTCGCCGGCAAACTCCCGGCGAATGAAGAACGCTCCTGCTCGCCTGTTGTAGCGACAAGCAGAAGCCAAGCAAGGTCAAAGAGAACCAAGACCGGGAAAGAAAAACGCGGAATGAGACTTGGGCAAGCATGTGTGACGCACCTGAAGAGGTAGCCGACGATGGGGATGTTGAGATTGTCTCCGGCAGCAATGTAGGGCAGCGGCAGGTTGTAATGGAAGCAAATGATGGACATGACGATGTAGTCGATGTGCGACTTGTGCGTGGGAATGAGCACCACCGGAACACCCTTTTCTTCCAGCTCTTTCACCTGTTCACAGCATGGTGCGTGATGAGGCAAAGTACGTTTGCTGCGTGCGGTGAGAAGAACGTACCATACGGAGACCTTGGTCATCAACGTGAATGGAAACGAAGAGGCGCTTGAGGATCTTCGTCATCACGTATTCGAACGAGCGCGTGATGCGCGAGCTGAAACTGGCGATCATGTTGCCAATCATTTCTGCTACATGTCGCTTGGCCGCCTCCTCCGACATCTTCTTCTCGATTGCGTACTTTTGTGTGGCCTGCGCTCTCACACCGACACGCCCACCACCCGTTGGAGTGAGCAAACACCCAACAATTGCAGCATTTGGAAAAAAAGAAAGAAAAGAAACAGGAAAGGAGGTAGCGAGGGCAAGAGGTCGCCAGCATTCCGTACCCGGATGACACGCTCGTCCTTGAGAATGGCGTTCTTGATGATGTTCTCCGTACGCGGGAAGGGCTCGTGTGCGCCTGGCAGGTGTTGGTAGCCGGCGTAGGCCTTCCACAGGTCGAAGAAGTTGCCCACCAGCCGCCGCACCTGCATAAACGATCGCACAAAAACAAACGCATTAATGCATCGTTTTCGTCATTTGCCATTCGAAGTGAGAACATAAGAGCCTGTACCACGAAGTTCTCGCTCCTAATGCGACGCTGCCTAAACAGATTTTCATGCGAATACTCTACGATTAATTTGTTCAAAATTGGATGAAAGATTAGCCCAATTTATACTCAATGCTCAAACGTAGAAGTGAGTGCACCTGCAGCGTTGAGGCGTTGTTGGCCAAGCATCTCTTCCTCTTGGACGGGCACTGCAGCTGTGCCCTTTTCGCCTTCAATATTCTGGGCTTCTGTGCTCTCCTCCTCGTTGCTAATCTGAACCTGCTCTTCAGCCTCGCCATGGCCGTGAGGGCCGCCACTCGCCTCGGTCACGTCGGCCATCCTGCTCTTTGATCCTTCTCCTTGCTGCGACTGCCCGTGACGGAACAAACCAACGACGCCAGAGTTGTTGTGTTGTGATTCCACGTCGCGCAACATTCCGCAAGATCAAACTATGTCGGGAATTTACGGTGACAGCACCGCGAAAACACCAAAAATATGAGCAACAATATCGACCACTACATTGTAGACTGCACTTGGGACAACATGTTGGTGGCCTGTCCAAGGCGCCCAAGGTAGCCAAGCTTTTGTCGTTGGGATTGACTTACTTCACCCCCCTTGTATTTGGGCAAGGAGCAAAGTACGGCCACAAGAGAGGGTCAAACGCCGCCAGCAACAGCAGTGAGGTACACGGGCACTCGCCTGGGCCTAGAACTGCTTGAAGAAGTTGCAGATATCGGGATGCTCCTTGAAGCCCACCTTGAACTCCTCCAAATCTATCGTACCGCTCTGTGGAGGCCCAGCACGATGGCAAAACAAGCAAGTGGTGAGGCCTAAGCACGGGAGCAAGACAAAAGAAGGACGAGAAAGAGCGTGCGTACGTTGTCGGCGTCCACCTTGGCGAAAATCTCGTCGATGATCCTCTGGATCTCAGCCTCACGAGCCTTCAGCACTTGCTCAGAAGGAGCAGACATCTTCTTCAACTGTGGGCGTCGTGAGCACCAGCTCGTAATATGGAAGAGCTGAATCGAAAAGGAAGGGGGTACCATCGACTTCATCACGAGAATGAGCATGCGCTCAACCTCCTGTCTGTCGAGCTCGCCATTTCCGTCCTCATCGAACAACCGGAAAGAAGCTGCGCAGGTGAAAGATGAGAGAGGATAGATGGGAAGGGAAATCGCGTAGCCAAGGATTACCTTCGAGCTTGTCATCAATGGTGCCACCGAAGGATACGCCCATAAGTGCCATGTACTCTCGCACATCGATCGTGCTTAAGTACCGAAGTAGGTGATTAGAAATGAAAGGTGACAAACAGGGGTGGGGCAACGCACCCACTGCTGTCCTTGTCGAACGATTCAAAGATGGCCTCTGCAAATTCTCTTTCTGCGGCCCCCTCCTTGGTCATCACATCGAGGAACTTATCCTTGGTGATTTGACCGTTCTTGCCCTTCTGGCTGTTGAACGCCCTGAAGGTGAGATCCACCTTATCCTTGGGCACTGTAGCCGAGGCGGGCGAAATGAGCGAAGGAAAGAAGAGAGAGCGCGATTGCGGGCGCCCTGATGAAAGCAAGAGGTTGCGGGGGGGGGTTAGACGTACGGTTGTACTTCCTCTTCCAATCCTCGAGGTCCCTCTTTGGTATTTGTTGAGCGTTTCCCATGGCTGTACAGATGTGTTATCTTCTTCCTTCCTCTTCTTCTATCAAGCCTAGTTTGTCAATCTTGGACCACCTCGTGGCCTTGTTCAGCTCAAAAGGGAACGCGAAACGGTTGCAAATTCCACACATTCCAAAAAAGAGAGAAGAAAATAAATTATGATTTCCCCTTGTCAGGTGTGCACGGTGCGGCCTTGGAGGGAGGGCTGGAGCAGCTGCAGGAAGGATCCGCACGTTTTGTCGATGGTCGCGGTCAGCTTCTCAAGGTCATCGTTTATGGCGTGCACCTTGATGTTCAGGTCCTGAAGAGCAACCACGTAAGCGCCAACGAATCACTTGGCTGCGTTCATTTGCGCCTCTACGTACCTGTGTGACGTTGCGCACTAGATCCAACTGATGGGAGACTTGCATCACGTCCTTGTGTGTGGACTGGACACCGACGATTAGAATTAGAATGGGTATGTATGCGTTGGGTTGAATACAACGTGCCTGGAACGTCTGGTGGAGCTTGGCGTTGATCGTCGTTCGTATACCTTGGTTGTGGCGCTGGATCTTGCGTTCGGCCGCACTGGGGACACACACACACACACAATGATAAGGCCCATGGCTGGTGAACACGCTGCCAGAAGAGGGCAATTTTCAACTAACCTCTGCTCCTGAATGAGCCCCTTCTTGCGCGTCGTCTTCAACAGCGGCGCGATGGCATCGCTGAACGCACCTAAGGTCGTGTATGGCGCAGCGCTCGGCTTGTCCCCCTATTGGCAGTGGTTCGCCATTAGTGGCGCCGGGGGCAAGAGGCAAAGTACCACCATGGTGGCAAGTGTGATGAAAGGGCGAGTACCGAGGCACTGGTGTTTACGGAGTCATGCAGTGCCTCGATCCCACCAGACGCGTCGCTTCCACGTCGATCATCAGCGACCATTTGGATCTCGCTACCGTCATCGACGCCCTCGTCCGCGCCCGCAGTCTTCGTGCCCTGTGTGCTCCTCTCTTCCTCGTCTTCCGGCTCCTCTTCCTCCTGCGCCAACCAATAGAGTGACGCACAAGACACATAGTGCACGTTGGTCAATGCAGGCTCACCAAGGAGGTCACTGAAGGGGTTACCTCGTCATCTTCTCCTTCAAAGACAAGACCAGCAGCGGCAGTCTTGACACGAATCTCCTCGGTCAGCTCTCCGTCGCTCTCGTCCACCTCTTCCTCCTCTTCACTTTCCTCGCCTTAGACACGAATCAATTAATGAAATGAGTAATCATTTTTAACAAAAAGAGTGCACATAGAGGCCAAGGCAGGATACCTTCGATCACGTGGCCCAAAGGCTTCGCTTCGCTTCCTTCCATCTGTTCGTTGATTGAAATGGTGAAGCCCAAAGAAAAAAAAATGCGAAAAGAAATAACCATTGTTTTATTTTTATTTTGACCAAAAATAACAAGCAGCATGTCCGAGGTCGTGGAGGTGAGCACCCTACAGAGGGCGCGGTTGGCCCACCAGCCGCCGGTTACGCCGACGTTGCGCGGAAGGACCACATTGCGTCGTCATGCCCACCCGACCTCCTCCCTCGCGCAGCCCGGTACCCGGCTGCTCCATTTATTAATTCAATCCAACGGGGGCAGCCCTTCTCCTGCGCCGGGCTTGAGGCACTGCATGGCCAACACTGCCTGTGACTGACCGTACAGCTGCGCGTTATGCTCTACAGAGGAGATCGAAAAGCGGCTGCCGCACATCTTCGGGCAACCTCGCGTAGAGCTCGAGGCCGCCTCCACCGCTGGCGACGATGCCTCCCACTCTCCCCTGCGGGTTCGGCCTCCTCTGTTCTCCCTCCACACACTCACCCTCTACTCGCGCAGTTGCTATCAACCCTGAGCTTAACGTACGTGTTCAACACGCAGATCGGCGTGGTGCTGTCGGGCGGACAGGCCGCGGGCGGGCACAACGTGATCGCGGGTCTTTTCGACTACGTCGCCGCTGGCCACCCGCACTCCAAGCTCTACGGCTTCATCGGTACGGGCGTAGTCGCTACGTACACGGATGTTAGAGAGACGACGATGCATTGACGTTGATCGTTCTTTATTCCTCCCCGCAGGCGGTCCCATTGGGCTGGTCAAGGGCGACTTCATTGTGATCGACGCCCCACTGGTGGCCAAGTACCGCAACCAGGGCGGCTTCGACATCATCGGTGCGATCGCCTTGCACCACTCGCGGGTCGACCAGAAGAACCTCTTGGCTGAGTCAAAGCGCGCGTGTGTGGCGTGCGTCAATCAGGTACGGGCAGGGACAAGATCGAAACGGACAAGCAGCTCCTGGCCTCTCGCGTGGTGTGTGAAAACCTGGCCCTCGACGGCCTCGTGATCATCGGTAAACCTCGCCAGTCCCGCGCACATGTTCGTAACCGGCTGACAGTGTTGTGCTGTGCTGTGTTGTGCTGTGTTGTGTTGCGTACTCGAAAAAAGGTGGCGATGACTCCAACACCAACGCTGCTCTTCTGGCCGAGTATTTCAAATCACACCACCTCAAGACCAACGTACGGCAGCGCTCACCTGACGAGGCGAGAAGCGTTTCCCCCCCCCTCACCTTTCTCTTCGTTGCTGGTGATGACAGGTGGTGGGTGTGCCCAAGACCATCGACGGCGATCTCAAGAGCTCGCTGGGCGTTGAAGTGAGCTTCGGCTTCGATACCGCGTGCATGATCTACAGCGAGCTCATTGGTAACATCGCTACCGATGCCAACAGGTACACACACACACACACACACACTTCACACCCATTGCAACATGTTAAGATCGTATATGTTATATCAACTCACTTGGCATTGCCCCGTGGTCTCCCTCCCGTGACAGTTCGCGCAAGTACTACCATTTCATTCGGCTCATGGGCCGGTCTGCGTCTCACATCACCCTCGAGTGCGCCCTGCAGACTCGTCCCAACATCACCCTCATCGGCGGTACTGCACTACGTCGCGCTCGTCACATTGCACACCTGACTTACCCCGCTTGGCTCCTGCTGGTTGGTGCGCGCGGTGTGCACAGAGGAGGTGGCGGCGCGCAAGCAGACGCTGTCCGATCTGACGAACGAGCTGTGCCACGTCATCGTGGAGCGGGCCAAGGCGGGCAAGAACTTTGGCATCGTGCTCCTGCCCGAGGGCCTTATCGAGTTCGTGCCGGAGGTCCACCGCCTGATCTCCGAGCTCAACGAGCTGATGGCCAAGGGCAACTCGGCCGACGTGGTGGGCGAGAAGCTCACGGAGGAATCGCGCGCCGTGTTTGACTTCCTGCCCAGTGCCATCCGCCACGAGCTGCTGCTCGACCGGGACCCCCATGGCAACGTCCAGGTACGCCTCTCGGCCGTTCATCAGTCATTCTTCGAAGACCCACACTCACGCAACACACACACACACACACACACACACACACACACACACACACACACACACACACACACACACCACACAAACACAAACGCCCACCCACACACACATGCAGGTGTCCAAGATCGAGACGGAAAAGCTGTTTATTCACCTGGTCACCAAGGAGCTGAAGCGGCGCAAGGCCAACGGGCAGTTCAAGGGCAGCTTCTCGGCCATGGGCCACTTCTTCGGCTACGAGGGCCGATGCGGCCTCCCCTCCAACTTCGACTCCAACTACTGCTACGCCCTCGGCCGGACGGCGGGCGCGCTGCTGGACCACGGGCTCACCGGGTACATGGCGTCGGTGTCCAATCTCACGGCGCCGCCGGAGCAATGGAAGAGCGGAGGCCTGCCCCTGACGGCGCTCATGAACATGGAGAGGCGCAAGGGCAAGAACGTGCCGGTCATCCGCAAGGCCCTCGTCGACCTCGACGCCGCGCCCTACAAGGAGCTCCTCCGCCACCGCGAGAAGTGGGCGCGTGGCGAGCACTATCGCAACCCCGGTACGCCTGCCCCACGCGCGCCCTCTTTGACCGAACCACTCGCTGACTTGTCCGTTGCTGTTGTTGCAACGCGCTGGCGAGAGCAGGTCCCATCCAGTTCTACGGGCCGGCCAGCGGGGAGGTCAACATCACCCTTCAGCTCGAATTCGGACAGGCCCACCGCCACCCCAAGGCCGCCCTCTGATGAAGGGAGGACCTACAAGCTTGCACTCTCAGAAGCACAAGACTCTCTTTTTTTTATAACACAACTACTCAACTTCTTCTTCTTCTTCTACACATTATTGTTCTCCACACCACCACCGCCAGCAGCCTCGCTCTCCTTGTCCTTGGCTTTGTCGCCGTCGCCAGGCGCGGCCTCGCCGGCTGCGGCCCGCCGCTGGCGGAAGAGGGCGCCGCTTCGGAGCTGGTTGACGACGTCATCGATGTTCTGGGGCTTCCCGCCTGGTGGCAGGCCGGGCGGGGCACCCGGTGGCGGGCGGGCGTTCGGTGGCGGGCGCAGCATGGAGGAGCCTGGTGGCCCTCCTTGCCGGCTCTGTCGCGCCTTGAGCTCGGCCTTCCGCATGTTGTCCTCGTGCACCCGCTCAAACGCTGTCGTAAATGTGTGGAGCTGTACCCAACAGGTCAGTAACGGTTGGGTGGGGTAAAAGAGGGAGATTTGTGTGTTTGTGATGCGTGTGTGTGTGTGTGTGTGTTGCGTGGGTGTGGGAGGGAGGGGACGCACCATGCCAAAGAGCTGCTCGGGTGTGCTGGAGATGGGCTCGCCGAAGCGCTCCACCACCTTTTCGAAGTTCTCCTCCATCTCCTTGTAGTCGCTCTCAATGTCGTTGAAGTCGCCTTGGCACGCCACCACAAACATTTGCATTTGCTGTGTGTGCCCCAAGAGACGAGACGAGACGAGACGAGGTTAGACGACGGCGCTGGTGAAGAGGGAGAAGGGGGGATGGGGGGAACCAACATGACAGAACTTGGCGTCGTGCTCGTCCTGGTAAACGGAGCTGGACACGAGGGAGATGGCCTGCTTGCACTGGCCGAACCCTCGTCTCAGCTGCTCCAAGGCCGCCTTCACGATCTGGAACGACACGCGGCAGGCCTGGTGCACGTGCTTGAGCTCCTGTGGATCGCGCACGACACGTCGGTCGCAGTGTGAGTTTGGCGTACGCGCGCGTGGACTGCGCACGCTTTGCTTGGTGTCGGCTAAGGGGGAGGGAACCTTGGTGAAGCCCAGCAGCTCGGGGTACTTCTGGGCGATCAGCGTGGCCAGGTATTGCAGCAGGTTCGCCTTGTTGTCCGTCGATTTGGTGTCCTACACGCGGCCATATCACAATGTGTTGTGTGTTGTTGTGTTTGTTGTGTTGTGTTGTGTTGTGTGTGTGGTGAGAAACAACGAGTGCCACACCGTATGTGTCGTGATGGTTATGAGAGGGAGAGAGAGAGAGAGTGACGAGTGGTAGGTACCTGGAGCTTGGTGAGGGCGTCGAGCTTGAAGCCGTAGGCGGCTCCTCGGTGCGTGCCGCCGTTGATGTAGTTGCCCACGGCCAGCACCACCTCCAACACGCCCCTGAACTTCTTGCTCTTCTGCACCTCCTCGCACGCCTCCAGCACCGCCGTGATGTCCTGCAGGACCGAGTTGGCGCGCGTGGTGCGTCAGCGGTTTATTGCGTGGCGAGCGCGCACACGCGCGGGGGAAAGCGAGTGAGGGTCACGTACTGGCCGCAGCTCGTCCATCTGCTCGCGGCACTTGAGTTTGAACGCCCAGGCCTTCAGCCGGTCGCCGTAGTGGTGGATGTCCTTGATCACCCAGAAGAACTGCTCCGCCTTTCCAAGCTTCGTCCTGCCGCCCCCGCCGCCGATGAGAAGAACAAGAGCAATCGTCACTCGGTTGGCTCGCACTAGCGATGTCAGGCTGGAGGAGAAGAAGATGTACTTTTCTTCGGGATAGTCGACGATCTGGTCGATCTCTTCCTTGGTGGGCACGAACTCCATCAACTTGAGCACCTTTTCGTAGTCGAGCACCGATTCGTCGAGCGTCAGGATCGCCTTGTGTATGTCCTCAAACGAGGCCTTGAATCGGGACAGCATGATGGCTACGGATGGCCACGGTTGGTCACCCATTTTGAACTTCGAAGTGAGAGGCCCACCCAGGAAAGAGCAGTGCGCGCGCGGGGGGGGGGATTGGTGGTGGTGGTGCGGTACCGCAGTTGTTGGCCCGCTTCATGTCGATGAGGGTGATGAGCATGTTCTTGGGCTTGATGAGGGAGGGCTTGGCGCCGGCCGCGGAAGGTCCCTTGGGCGAGAGAGCCGTGGCCGCGAACATGTTCTCGATCTCCATTCTGTCAAACTGAATCTTGTCGTCCTCCACCCCAGCCCAGAAGCTTTGGCTCACCTACACACACACACACACACGCACGCACGCACACGCACACGCAACACCCAACACACAACACGCACACACGAGACGTCAGTTTCACGGCACAGCTCCACTGTGACCAGGTGAGCATGATGGCGTACCTGACTGGCGGGGATCTTGGTCCAGTTGAGGTGCTTGAGCTTGACGCCCGGGTGGATGGCCTTCTTGGGCGGCAGTCGGCCGGGGCCGCCCACCATCCCGCCCATGGGCGGCGGCGGTGCCATGCCGGGAGGTGGCGGGGCCGCGATGCCCGGCGGCGG